TCAACTCGCCATGTAGTAACCTAAATTAATTTAGGTGTGTGAATAATATTTTATAGGGTTTTTTTAATCCTTTTTAACTCGCCATATAGTAACCTAAATTAATTTAGGTGTGTGAATAATATTTTATAGGGTTTTTTTGAATCCTTTTTAACTCGCCATATAGTAACCTAAATTAATTTAGGTGTGTGAATAATATTTTATAGGGTTTTTTGAATCCTTTTTAACTCGCCATATAGTAACCTAAATTAATTTAGGTGTGTGAATAATATTTTATAGGGTTTTTTGAATCCTTTTTAACTTGCCATATAGTAACCTAAATTATTTAGGTGTGTGAATAATATTTTATAGGGTTTTTTGAATCCTTTTCAACTCGCCATATAGTAACTGTGTGTGAATAATATTTCATTGCACCTAATTTAATATTCGGTATTATATATCGGACCAACTGTCTAATGATTATATTATAATTACTTGTTACCGAAAGTAAAACCGAAAATATCTCTATTTTTAATAGTTCACTCATTGATTAAACATTTTGTTTGCCATGGTAACAACAAATAGTTTTCATTTTGAGTTTACTTACTTGATTATAAGTATTATTTTATTACAAGTTACAACTTTTACAGTAAGGAAAAATATTATTTAGAACAGATACGACGTTTCGACCACGTACTCAAGTTTTAACTCGTAAAGTTATTGGTTTTTTTATGGACGTTCGTTAAACCTTGGTTTGAAAGTGATCGTTTTTTGAGTAGTCAACTCAGTGTTTTTGTTGTATGTTGGCTTAAGGTCAGTATTTGACTGTAAATTTAGACAATATTTATCATTAAAGAATCATAGTTTTTGGTTGGTATAGTAACGACAGTTTGTTTTACCGGCTCTTTGGATGACAATGTCATCGTTGTATGTAAAAAGTTTTAGGCCTTTTTTTTTTCTGCTGATGTCAAAATTTGTTTTATAGGCTTCTTATTGTTTAGAATTTTTTAAGTTTTTTCACCAAGTTCATCTAGGAAATTTTTAATGGACCTGATTTTGGTTTGGTTGGGAAATTGCTCATTAAATTGTCCTTGTTTTTTTTGGAATGTTGAATATTTCTTGTGATTCTTTGTTCTGAGGTGAATTAGACGCGGATTCTTCTTGGAGCCTTTGACTCGGGATTTGTTGATTGGATTTTTTATTTGATTATATTATTACTTTCCTGCAGAGGTCTTCAAAGCTAGTTTTTAAATTTAACACTAGGATAGTGGGAGGAGTTATTACGTAGTCATCATCTTTTATTTATTGTATTGTTCTTTACAGTTTCTGGTTCTGTTTTTCGGATTGTGCTGACAAACGAAGTTTTTCTAGCTTTCTGTCTAAGTTTCGTTTGATAGTTAACCTTTAAATATAGTAGATGTGTGTCCGTATTAATGATGAAACTTAGTTGTAATCTTAAGGGGTAGTTAAACCAGCGAGTTTGCTTCATAGGTTAATTTGTGCGGAGAAATTTTAGCTCTCTGTATTTGTCCTTTATACTTTGTTTTAAAAGTTTCATTTGAGCTTTTTCAATGGTACTTTTGATTTTTAGATTGAGCTGGAGGTTCATTTTTATTTTTTTAGGAAGGTTTGTGTCAACTTATTTGTACATATTTTAGAAAGGTTGTTCATAAAATCACATTTTAAAAATTCCCTTTTTTAGGTGAGATTATGTTGTTTAATGGTAACATTAGGCTTGAGAATGTTCGCACCAGTGATCGAAACGTAGTACCTGTTCTAAATAATATTTTTCCTTACTGTAAAAGCTGGAACTTGTAATACGTTTAAGATTGTTTGATATTGTAACAATTGTTATGGTGTGAACGCCTTCTATAAACTGGCAAAGCATGATTACAATCAACTATACATGTCATACGACATTAGTATATTGTTTGATATTGTAACAGTTGTTATGGTGTGAACGCCTTCTATGAACTGGCAAACCATGATTATAATCAACTTTACATGTCATACGACATTAGTATATTGTTTGATATTGTAACAATTGTTATGGTGTGAACGCCTTCTATGAACTGGCAAACCATGATTATAATCAACTTTACATGTCATACGACATTAGTATATTGTTTGATATTGTAACAATTGTTATGGTGTGAACGCCTTCTATGAACTGGCAAACCATGATTACAATCAATTGTACATGTGATACGACATTAGTATTAGGCCTATTACGTTTTTAAACATTATTTTTATTATATTTCTCTCTGTGTTCGACAGCTCCTGATGAAGTTGAAATAGCGAAATATTAAGCTAATAAAGAGGCATTCTGGAGACAGGGGTCGTTATTTTATTTACGGTAAAGAAATCCAAATCCTTCAAGAGTTCTGAAACAGTATTATTGTTACCACAGGTGGCTCTCTTACTAAAAGGGTCATATTTACCTATTGGAGGGCTTCATCTTTTCAGTTTTTACATTCAGTGTGTTCCGTTCTCAGAAAATTTTAAAATTTAGTAGAGGGTGGGAATTTACTTTACTGGTTTATTGAAGGAATGGCCACTCTTAAACGTAGGATCGACCATGTTGGCGATGATGATTGGTATAATTTTACCGAATTCTAACAATGGTAGCTGTTCGTATTGGTTACTCGCAGACAATTGTCTGTAGAACATTCTTACATCACTCGTCTCGTGCATTTTGTCATAAAAGGAAATTTTTCAAGTTTCAGTTTCAGTTTACTTACTGATTAACTATTATTTTAATACAAGTTACAGCTTTTATAGTAAGGAAGGTTTTTAGTTTTTCAGAACTGGTACGACGTTTCGATCATTGGTGCTTGAGAATAATCGGAACATTAAGCGAAACGTCGTACCTGTTCTAAAAAAATAACTTTCCTCGCTGTAAAAGCTGTAACTTGTATTAAAAATAAGATAATTTAATGTTTACCAATTATAGAGATTTATTATAATTTTTTTGTAAATCAACAATTTCTAAACTGCATATAAATACAACTTGCAGTTTAAAGGACTAATTATAAGTAACATTTTCCCATAACTTAGACATATATAAAAGATTCGTGTTGTAACTTGTCGATATTAGTATAAAATACAGTAGTTAAAGACTAAAGAACTAAAAATTAATGGAGTGTAAATGACTTCAATATTATTATTTTACGAATTAACATGCATTTTTTTTTATTTTCTAGGGGCTTCGGTAAACAAGGATATCAGTGTCAGAGTAAGTTTCATATATTTCTGTATTTTTTAGCCGCGGCATAACGGCTCTGAGTTTTTTTCAAGTACAAACTTTTAGCTCATAACTCCGTCATCTCTTGACCGATTTGAGATCTAATTACAGTTTTGGACTTAGGAGATCAAATTCATTCGATTGATTATTAGACCATGCCAAAGGTCTCATAGATTAGTTTACTCTAATCCTGCTTAAAATAAGTTCAATTTGAGGGTAAGCTGGTAGAAATACTGATGTGTAATAAAACTGAATCGGGTATACACGCTCCCCACGCTTGGTATTGCTGGCGTACAAATATATAGCTAATATTAATATGTAAAAAAAGGTCTCGTAGATTAATTTACTCGAATCCTGCCTAAAATAACTTTAAGTGCCACGACTATTGAGGATTCCCTCTTGTTTTAACTAGTATCGAATACGATCTAATCTGAGTCGGATTAAATGTACATCGATTAAACAAATAATGTATCCAGTTTATTAACTTCAGCTGTAACCAATATATTTTATATAGTGTGTACTTTAATATACATACATACATACATACATACATACATACATACATACATACATACAGACTTAGAGAAGATAAAAAAATATACAGGCCGGATGGGATTTGAACCAAAATACTGCGTGTGTGGGCATGTTCTTTTACTGATCTACAGCATCTCGAATGTCCTAAGTTCCCACTTGTTCCGATAAGAGGCTACACCTATCTTTGAAGAAAGTGGGTTATTAAATTTTTAATTTGGTTTTATTACAAGACCTTAGTAAACTTTTTCCCCACTTCTAGGAAACACGCTAGCTGCTGCAGATGAAGTTATATGTGTACTTCATAAAATTTAGTATATTTTAAAGTTTAGCTTTTATCTTTATTTGTTTTACTTGTAATATATGTGCTTGCTCCTCAAAGCTACGACTAAATCAAGAGTATTATATACTTATGTTTAGATAATGTAGAATTCTAAATTATTTCCTAAAATAGAACCACGAACTAAAACTTTAAACTCTTTGATTCTGATGTAAGAACATGTATGGAATAAATTTATTTTGGATAAATGAACCCAGAAAAATGCTCGATCGTGAATCGCAAATGTTTTTCATTGAATGATGTCCTTCAGCCTAAATCATAGCAGAAATTAGTTTAAAATTTAGAAACTTGATTGATTAGAATAAAAATGGGTGCACATAAAAAGTTGATATTAGATAGTACATGAACAGAAGTTAGGCTTAGTTCAGGGCTTAAATTAAAGAACTGATGTTTGAAGAGTTCAGCAGAAAATGGAGTAGAATCAAATGAAATGTAAAGAAAATATTAAACACACTTTAATAATTTAATTTGTCCCAGTAGAGTCTGTTCGACGTTCAATGTATTTTCCTACATTAAATGTTTTTTTATTCAAACGGAGATGCACCTGGTGGCGGAACTTGTAAATCTCTGCTGACAAACGAGGCTCCGTAACAATTCCGAAGCGACTTGACACGTGGCAACCTAAAAGTTAAACATTTTCTAATTTCACTGATAACCAGACATAGGGTCGATTACAATTGTGTGATTACGGTTACAACATAACTACAAGATGTGATTACGATTACAATCATGATTATTTGACTATGATTACAATTACGATAACATTTTAAAGGAAAAAAGCAGAAAATCAAAGATTAAAAACAACCTCATTTTTGAATTACTAAAGTGATTAAAAAAATTTTAAATCTGATTTTTTTCCCCAAAATTTTTAAATTCGGCTGTTACACCGAATAAACATCAGATGTTCAAATCGATAGTCTGTCAAGTTGCATCTTTCTTGTTTGAAGACTTTGCCTGTGATCGAGAACAATCATTCAACAGGGGGCGCTAAAGGCTGGAATCTGAAGGCTTAAGCAGGCAAGCTCTTGCCAAAACTTCATTATTGTAGTGATCTGTTTGCTTGTTCTAAAATGGTAATTGATCAGCTTTCTCGGGCAACCATTGGCAATTGAAATATCTTGAAACTTTGGTTTCTATGTCTGGTCTTGGTCCTGTGCCTGTTGGCTGTTGATGCACATCCATCAGGAACCAGAGGAACTTGGATCGTTTTCATGGTGGCGGTACAGTGCTGTCACAATCAGATTTGGAAGTCGAAGAAGTTGTGGGAGTGTCATTATTCACAACGACTACTTTGGCTAGCACAGCTGCTCTCACTTCCTGCTCCTCTTCAGGGATGCACCAGGCCAACTTCCATCTCGGATCGAGAGCGGCAGCAACTTTGACTATTAGTATTTCAAACTTAGATAGTCGTCGATCTACAGATGTTTTGAGAGTTTGCACCACCGTAATGCTGTACTTTGAGGACAATTCGAGCATCTCAGTTTGAAGCCCACTATTAACAGGGAGTATGATGCTAGATGTAACTTTTTCTCCTTGAGTCGTATATGTGGCCCATTCAAATGGAGTCATAATTTCAACAAGTTCCTTAGCCATGTTGGTTTCATATATGTTGATTTTTCCACTGAAGTCAAGTTTCTGCATTATAGATTCAGAAACTTTGAGGTGTGATATAATCATCACAAGTTGAGAGTTCCATCCTGTCTCATTGGCCGATTGCAGATGTACCTCATCTTCACCCTCAAATAGATCAGTTGCATGAGTGGAGTGGCAAGCATGAGACACCAGTTGGGAACACACCCTTAACAGAACCAGTTTGCTTTAGACCATCACTGACAACGAGGTGTAATGTATGAGCAAAGCAGGTGAAATGAGCTGATTTGAAAGAACATTTATTTTCGAGGCTGGCTGACACTGGTTGCAATTCTTCATTTGCATTACCATCGTTTACATCATCATTCTCTTCATTGGTCAATAGCATCTCCGCCTCTTCAAGCAAGCGAAAGGTAATCATATTTGAGGCATTGTCTGTAACAACGCATGACACCTTATGTTGAATGTCAAAGTGTTGAAGAATATTTTGTGATCCACAAAAACGTCGGTAAGCCATCGTATTGAAATCAGTAATGAAGTGCGCTGTCATTCCAAGAGTGTTGAAGAATATTTTCAGCAGTGTGTGATCCACAAAAACGTCAGTAAGCCAACGCGTTGAAATCAGTAATGAAGTGCGCTGTCATTCCAAGTAAGGATTTCATTTGTTGATCTGTCCAGGTGTCCATGGTGAGGCAAATCTCAGATGCTTGGGTAAGGAGAGTTAAGATTTCAGGATGCAATCGGGTATGCCGTTGATGAATAAGCGTTGTACTAAGTTGGATTGCATCAGTCTAAATTATCTTCACGGATAAGAAAAAAAAATCATTGCCTGTAGATGCTTGTGTAAGTTTGTAGTCTTTCCTGTAGCAGAAATTGGTATTGAATAGTGGTTACATTTCGCCTTAGAACTGCCCAAAGTATATCGTTGGGTGTATTGAAATGTTAAAAAATTGGTATCTTTGTGAGAATACAACAGTTTTTTTTTTTACAATATTAACTTGAGATTACCACTTATCCTTTAGCCTAGAGTGCACCAGAAAACTGTAAACTAGCCTCCAATCTGGAGTTGCAATTATCTTGGGCTAAGAATGAATAATTACTTTTTAATTCACCACACCTGCTCCTCTAAGCTTAATGATCGAGGCCTGAGGGGTATTGACTTAATGGACAATGAATTGATGTCTGAAGATCTTTAGTTTGTTTGCAGGTAATTGGGAAGCTGTGAAAACCACTTATAAAATGTTAATGCCAGAAATGCATTTTTTTTAAGACATCCGAAATTTTAAATGTAATCACAGATTACGATTACTAAGCCTTACAAATTTCTGATTACAATTACTTTGAAAATGTAATCAATTTCCCCCTTATTTTTCACAGTTTGCAGTTTTGTCGTTCACAAGCGATGTCACGAGTTCGTTACTTTCAAGTGCCCGGGTGCGGACAAGGGCGTGGACTCGGATGTAAGTATCGGATAGTTTTATGAATTATGAAATCTGAGCAAACTGTTGTAATACAGGATGCTCCAAAAGTCTGGAATCGTAGACACTTCAGCGAACTTTACAAAATGTTTTCCACATGTAATTCGAAACAAGTTTGGATTAGCAGTAGCAGAGTTAACTCGACCCCATGGATTTTATAGCTTCATAATTAGTCGCGTATCTCGAATTTAGAAAATCGGCAAATCGGTTATGGTTCCAGACTTTTCGGACACTCTGTAAATAAATCTTTGTGGCCATAATGTGTTATGATTAGAGTACTTTGTTACCACATATTAGATTCTGTTACCACATATTAGATTCTTAATGACTCTTAAATTATAAAAAGATATAATTAACACCGACTATGTTAAATATATATATATATTTTTTGTTTCTTAACTTGGCGTTCCTATATCACCATATTCTTCGTGTCTAGGCCCGGCATGGCCAGGTGGTTAGGGCGCTCGACTCGCAATCGGAGGTTCGCGGGTTCGAATCCCCGTCCCACCAAACATGCTCGCCTTTTCAGCCGTTGGGGTGTTATAACGTGACGGTCAATTCCACTATTCGTTGGTAAAAGGGTAGTCCAAGAGTTGGCGGTGGGTGGTGATGACTAGTTGCCTTCCTTCTAGTCGTACACTGCTAAATTAGGGACGGCTAGCGCAGATAGCCCTCGTGTAGTTTTACGCGAAATTCAAAAACAAAACAAACATCTTCGTGTCTTGATCCTTATGGACCGATCGTAGTCTAGTGGTTAATGTCTCCGACTGCGAATCAGAAGGTCCATGGCTCGCGTTCCCTTTCTGATTAATAAGAACCACAATGGGCTGCGCACTTTGAGACTGTGGTTATAAGATCGACGATGAAACCCCACTATTCAACTAGAATAACTTTAGAGTTGGCGGTGGGTACTGTGCAGATAGCCATTGTGCAATGTAGCGCGAAATAAACTTAACGACTTACTCTTTTGTACCATAGAATAGTGGGATTGACCGTCACTTTATATCGTTGTTACGTCACAGTATGCCACTATTGCTTTTCACTCTCTTTCTCACGACCTCTAGCCAATTTATAAAGACTTGGGAAGTTTTAAAGGAGAAACGCGTATTTCTGCTCTAATATTTGCATTCAAGCGCTTGGTGCAAAGTAATTATTAACAATAAAGACCAAATCGATCACGGTGTTCGTGGCTGAAAAGATTTCGGTTTCCAAGTGTTAAGATAAATGATTTCGTATCTCCAAAAAAACACCGTCATAATTCTTGTCCACAAGTTATTTCCATGCAACTTGTACAGAAGTCGAAATTCTCTTCGTCGAAAAAAAGTAATTCTTTCACGAATTATTGTCCCTTACAACGTTTTAATCCGGGGTTGACCCCCCCCCCCCCCCGTAGACTGTGGCTCCTCCTTGTCACATGTTTTGTTCTCATGCCATGTGGCAGTCCTACTCCGAGGTACGTGGTGGAAACTATAATTGAGAAAACACATACACACACGCGCGCACACACCTCGGATACTACACCATTATATAGAATTAATTTGAGTTGCTTCGTGTGCCACTAGTTATTAGTGAACATTTCTAGTCGAGACAACCTGTTCCATAATTATATTCCGTGGATTATATCGTTAAAACTGAGAAACTCATCAATGGCTTAGTTTGTTTATGTTGTATCTCGTGTCGACGTGAAATTAGAACCTTGGTGGGCGACGAGACTGTCTAGATAGTCCAGTTGTAGATGTTAATCATTTGAACAGTACATACTTTTAGAGTTTGTAGTCTTGAAAAAAAATGACGAATTAAAACGAAAAGTTTGTTTTTACTTCGTTTTCTTGTGAAATGTGACTCGCAAATTAGGCTTGCTATATTCTTGGTTACTTTAAACAGTCTTATTACTTTACGTATGCAGTGGAAATAATGGCCGTATAGCTTATACTCTCGAACTGAGTGAGTGGAGCGTCTACGGTTGTATTTGTTGTTTGAACATAGAACTAAACAGATCTATTTGTTGAAGATACTGCCCGTATAATTTTGTTATATAGATTTCGCCATTGAAATATCCTGTTTGTGAATGTGTGGATCATACGGGGGGGCAGATATCTTAATGCACTACGTTTGTGTATGTAGCAATTGTATGCGCGGGGTGTTTAAACGTATTAAGTTCGTGTGTGTACGTAATGCACACTGAGGAAGAAAGGCTTGTTCATACTATGGTTGCGAATGTACAAACCGTACTTCGGGGTGGGGTGTACATTTGTAAATAAAAGTTTCTGTTAATATTCATACCGTTTCGGGCCAGGACTTCACTACTGATTTCAGACTTTGGAATACAGTTTGGCGTCAGAAGTAGAACATAGGAAATTGGCATCAAACAGATCTAAATGGTCATCAATTTAATCCTTCCACAACTGATCTTAGAGACGCATCTTTTACGTCTTTGTTAGTTTTGGCAGTAAAATGGAATTATTAGTTTGTTGGAAATAATTCCATTTTACTGCGTGGAAAGCCTTCCTTTACCCAACAGAAATACTCAACAATACATTTTAAATCTGCGAATTAGAAAAATATTGTTGTCGGAATACCACGTGTTATATTAGGCATGCGCAACGTACTCGTTTTTTTATTTGTCTGTAATCAATCAAGGAAAAAAAATAAAATTGAGTTCCCACAAACTCGTAAGATTCTGAAATTAAATTACTTTAACAAATAAAATATAATGAGCTAATTTTCATTTGAATTATTCTGTTTTGTGTAACTGATTATTATTGTGTGTATATAGGGGGTAATCACTGCAGTAGACTAACTGTGCAACAAAAGCCATTACAAATTCATCGAAGCTAGTCGATATCTTTCCCGTGGGAACGAGGCCTATTAAAAGAGAAATTTATAGTTCTCTGTACAGAAAAAAAGACTACATAATCTAACACGTCATTTGATAGATTAAAACCTTGGCTTTCTATTGGTTATAAATAATATAATACTAAACGTAAGAGAGAACTATTAACAAATCCTGAGAGAAAGGCTGTGATAGGTGGGTGTGGCAAGAGGGGTCTGATTTTCTATTTGATGGCTCTGTAACCGAACAAGATTGAAGGCTAGGGAAATTATTTTTTGTTTGAGAGATGACGATATTATAGTGAGTAATTTAAGTTAATTTCCGTACTTATTGGAGGGGTGGTGAACAAATTAGAGAAGAGGGGATGCCTAGAGAAAAAATTACAAAGATAATTCACTCATTGTATATTCTACTGATACTCTATTGTACATTTTTTATGGTAATAACAAGACATTTTTATAAGGAAATCGCAGTCTTTTTAAATTATATTTTTTCTGAGTACCGTATGGGCCCACAAGTACATTTAAAAATTGCTGTCTGGCCCGCACCCTGGTGGAACTTGCACGTGCCTCTGTTAGATATTCCCTTGTAGTTTGTATCGACTTTTTTGTTCCATCAAAGTTTTTGAAATTGCCTGAAGAACGGCTTCTCGTCTCGAAACGTTGTGGAACATTGAAAAATTTATCAATTACCATTTGGTATATGAAAATTACCCCCCACCCCCCGTTTCCAATTTCGAAAACCGGGGGAGGTAGACGTTATCACATGTCGTTTATTCGGTTATTAAATATCTTGAGTACGTTCAAAGAAACCGAAAACCAATAATTTTTTTTTATTTCGTAATCCCAAGCGTATCCACTTCACCATGTAGGAGGTAACGTATGTGATGTGAATCGGACCATGCTTCAATTGGTCTCCTGCTCGTGCTCAACCAAGTTTATGCATATTACACACAGAGAAGTTGCTTATTTCACAGATGACAGCTTAAATTTTCCAACATTTTCTCTCTCTGACAACGTTTCTGCTATGTGGGGTATTGGTATAATAGGCCGTGATGTAATATAATATTTTTGTTTTTGAACTATGGTTATATTAATTATTGGTATACAATGGAGCCCGAATTCTTTGAAAAGTTTTTTTTTTTCCTTTCTTCTTTCTTTCTTTTATACTTTTGGCTTGGATGTGAATTTTCTTGTTTTTAATGGTTTCTAGAATAAATAGGTATTTGAATAATACCAAAATAAAAAACCAATCTTTTAATCAAACGTGCGGCCCATGTGTGTATAATTTACATTTTTGTAATCAGAAATGGAATTAAAGAATAGTGTTTGGCGAATCTCTGGCTCAAGATGTCTAAGACAGATGTTCATTCCTTAAACCAGTGTTTTTTCAAATATTTGGTTCAAGGTGTCTACGACAGATGTTCATTCCTTAAATTAGCGTTTCCCAAAGAGTGTGGGCCACAAATTATCTCTTGGGGGGGGGGCGAGCTAATGCGAAATTAATCTTTTTAATATATTATTTCTTAATGAAAATTATAATTAGTTACTACAAGACAACATTTTAAAGTGTACCTACGTGTTATATCACTTAACTCTCTCTTTCATTAAAATAAAAAATGAGGGGTGCGTTAGGAACCATATCTTTAAAGGGGGGGGCGAGGATGACAAAAGTTTGGGAGACGTTGTCTTAAATATTACCTGGCTTTATAACATGCACGTGTTCATATACCATATTTTTCGGTGTATAAGACGCACTTTTTTTACCCCAAAATTTCATATCAAAATCTGCTTGCGTCTAATACACCGAAGGTATGAATAATATATACACTGAGTGGTCACAAGTAAATAGACACCTAATTTTTCGTTATTTAATGTATTTATGCCAACTAATTTGTGTTCACAGAGCACTATATAAATG